GCTCCTCTCGATGTGGAGGAGCAGCGGCTCTACTCTGAGTCCTCCTCGGATAACTGAGCTCCTCCCCCTATCTCCCAGGGAGAGCCCAGATATACTACAGAGAAAACTCATTTCAGCCGCTTGTATTAGGGATCTTGTTCTTTCAGGCAGAATTATATATTTCTAATTTATTAAAATGTATTTCTAAAACTTCACATATATTTGATGTTAACAGTATTGAAGTACAGTTTCTAGGTTTCCTTATCACAGCCTCCTTCCATGTCCGCCATGTTTTACACATCTTCAAACAATTGTGCGTCCTGCCTTTTCTGACTTTTTCTAACGTGTAAAATGTTCCTTGATTAAAGATTCTGTCAGAAGGCTCAGAACATAAGACCCAGAATTCAGGCGAGACAGACAGTGGTATATTAAAAAAGAGTTTATTAATAAAGCGTGTGGTTGTCTGCTGTGGAGGGCTCACTGGAAACTCTGCAGGACTAGAGGCACAGGTCAGTGACTTCTAAGCTCAAACAATGGATTATAATAATGAGTATGAAAGCCACCAACTTGGCAAAGTTCAGTCTGTGCTCAGATGAGTGTCGTCCAGCAGAACTCCTTTCCTTTATGCTGAGATGGAACCAGAGATCCAGGAGAGAAGAGAAGCAGCGTCCTTCAGCTGCCAGAACAAGCCATGGGAACTGAAAGATCCAGAAGGCTAATCCAAGCCATGGTCAGAAGACATGGTCCAGGGATGGCGCCAGGCGGAATGCAGGTATCAGTCCAAAACAAAAAATAAGCAGGAGAACAGAGCACAAAAGGAGGTCGAAAACTCTGAGGTCCGTGGGAAAAAAAACAGATCAGGAACCGGTAGAACCACAACAAAGGGAATGCTAGAGTTAGTCCTCCTAGAAAGCTACATAATCTGGCAGCACAAGGCTGGAGCCCAGAGGGCTAAATAGCAGCAGATGCAGGTGGGTGTAATAAGAGCAACTGAGAGTACAGAGCAAAGCAAAGAGCAGAGTAAATGTGGTGAGATCATTACACTATCTGCATTCTTCTTTCTCCTTAAACCCCCAGGCAGCCTCAGCAGAGGATCGTTCACACTGAGCCTGGTTCTGGTTCTGTTGGATGTTTTTTCGTATCAAAAGAGAAAATTTTTTCCTTTTAAAAGTAACTGCATGAATGAATGTGAGGGATTGCTCTGCAGTCACTGAGAAAGTGCAAATTAAAGTCTGCTGTAAACACAAGTTCATTAAGGAGGAACGAATCCTGCAAAGGCTGTGACTGGATGCAATCAGCTGTGCTTCCTTTGAATCGGTGTGTCTGGATGATTTTAATGAATTGTCTCTGTAAAGTTCCCTCAGATAAAATGTATTGTAACGGTGTAAAATGTGGCGCTATTATAAGAAAAATGTAATACTTAACGTTATAAAACTTCATGCTGAAACACCCCAAAGTCAAACCAAAGTCCGCCCCTCTGCAACATGAGCTGCAGCATGCAGCTTTGCAACGTCCAGGATGTTCACAACAGTTTGCAAGCAGCTAATAAATATGAAATAACTTCAGCTGCAGAAAAGAGGAACTGCATAAAACACTTTCTAACCTTTTATTGTTCCTTGAGGTTGGAAACTATTGTCTTAAATTATTCCCGTGTGCTTGAAACCGGTTGTATGAAGGCAGAGTAAATATTTCACAGGAATTGGACTTTCAGGAAGTGCTCCTCCTTAAGTATAAAAAGAAACAGAGCTGAAGCTGCAGACCACAAAGACTGCAGAGGAAACCCAGTGTGAAATCTACAGCGTCCCGCTGCTTCGCTGAAACAAACAACAAGGTAACACCTCTGGGCTTTAGCTGCAGGCTGTAATGATGTTTTAGCTGAGTTTTATGTAGAAAACTCTGTTATATTTCCAGTCCCTTTTAGGAATCAGCTCTGTTGAATATCCTGCTAAAGGAAACAGACAATGAAAGGAAGAAGATGGATTTTTCATCATTTTGAATTGAAAAGGCTTCCTGGATGGGAAGAGAAGTCTTCAAACTTCAAAACAAAGTCTAGTGGATTGTTTTTAGTTTTCTTTTTTGGTTTGAAAAAGATGCTGAACCCAGTAATATAGCAAACAGTAGATTATTACCTGAAAGAGGGTTAAATTCTTTATACAGAGAGGAGAAAAACTTTAAAATACTAAAACTACATCAGAACATCTAAAGGATGATCTAGTCAAATAAATATTTAAAACATGAAGTAATAAGAGCTTGTAAAATGATCTGTGGTTTTTNTGATCTAGTCAAATAAATATTTAAAACATGAAGTAATAAGAGCTTGTAAAATGATCTGTGGTTTTTAAGCAGTAGTTATTCAAGCTGAATTCTATTTTTGGGGGATTTTGAGTCATAATTTCTGGTCTTTCTTATTTATAACTCATTGACTCAGACCCTGTGAGTAGTGAGGATGTCGTGTCGATACAGAAATAATTTACCGAGTCATCTGCATACATCCGGTGAAGAGAGCAGCCATAGTCTTTTATCTGATTGAGGAAGATCATCGAGGTCACAGAAACAAACGGGCTTAGAAGGAAGCCCTGCGGTACCTCACATGTGACCAACCTCTCTTCTGGTTCATTAATCTCAATGTTCTCAGATTAAGTAAAATCAAAGCAACTTTTGTCGGGACTTTGCTGAAAATTAAAAACCTGCTGACGGCATCTTGTTGGTGCGGTGTAGAAAAGCTGGATCAAATGCTTGAGAATCTTTCTGCTTTGTTTGTTGGTGAATTCTTTTCAATGATCACTGTTGTGGGCTGAACAGTGGGTGGCACTGCTGCCTTGCAGCAAGGAATTTCCGGGTTCGATTCCCGGACCGGGGTCTTCCTCCCACAGTCCAAAAACAGGTCTGTTAGGTTAATTGGCTTCTCTGAATCCTCCTTAGGTGTGTGCATGAATGGTTGTTTGTCCTGTTTGTCTCTGTGTTGCCCTGCGATGGACTGGAGATCTGTCCAGGGTGGACCCCGCCTCTCGCACGTAGACAGCTGGAGATAGGCACCAGCACCCCTCGCGACCCCACTTGGGATAAAGCGTGATGAAAAAATGGATGGATGATCACTGTTAGCCTGGATTTGTATGAGAAGGAAACCCGGTTTAGGTTGATATAAAAGATGACTTGATAATGCCCTTTTCAGAACGTTTGCTAAATAAACTGATTTATGTATAATCTGTAATGTTCCAGAAGCAATGTGGAAAATGAACTGCGTTAAAACGTGTGATAACAGCTTTTAGTTCATAAATGATTTCTAAAAAACAAAGTCTTTTATTTCCGGGTGGATCATCTAAATTAGTGGTCCTCCTAACTGTCAATCATTCTGGTGATATGTTTACATAAGGCTGTCCTACTCGCTCGTCCTGTTGGTTATCTTCTTGTGAGCATGAGCATTTTCAGCCGTGCATCTGTGGTGAGCTACGGTTTCAGACGGTCATTAAAGTTCACCTTTCTCACCACGGTTCTTTGAAAAATGCACTGCAAAAAATCTAAATCTAGATCAGTCATTTTTTCTTAAAATAAGTGCATTTGTTCTTGAATT